GATGGATAATCCAAGGTTGTGGGTTTGATACCCATTCAGGGCACATATAAGAAGTAACCAATGAGTGTATATCTCATAAGTAAGTGGAACAACAAATCAATGTCTGTCTGTCTCTTTCTCTTTCAAACCAATCATTTAATTAAAAAAATTAAGGAAAATTGAACATGGACTAGATATTTCATGATATTAAGGACTTAGAACTCATTTTGGTGACATAATAAATATGGTTCTATTTTAAAATTCCTTAGATTGTGAAAAACCTATGGATAAAATATGACAACCTAGTTCACTATTAAATGATGCAGCATTGAGAAAGAAAAAGGGTGGAGGAGAGAAAGAAAAGAAGGAAGGAAATGAATGAACAAACAGGGAAAAAGAGGAAAAAGGAGAGAGGGATGGAGGGCAAAGGAAATGAATGGATGAAAGGAATACATCCGGTAAATACTGAAAATTGGTGAAGTTGAAAGATATAAGGTAGGTATTAATACAAACATTCTCTTATACTTTGAGAATGTCCCAACAGAGAGTTTCTACAAACTTTTCAGAAGGTTAGACCAAAGGGAAAAACATTACACATGTAGGTAGAGAATATGAACACATAATAGTGGTTGTCAAAGCCTGTGCCTTTCTCAGAGACATGCTGGCCAGCCGCCTGGAACTTAACTAGAAATGCAAACTTTGCTTGGCAAACCCCTCAGGTGACGCAGAGGCAGGGTCAAGTTTGAGAGACAGTGCTCTGGACAGGACCACAAAGCCAGCAGCTGTGTCTCTGCAAGGCTGAACAACACAGAAATGTCTGACAAGCAAGATCAAGAAGGAGCCGAAATCAGTTTGGCTCTGTGGATAGAGCGTCAGCCTTCGGACTGAAAGGTCCCAGGTTCAGTTCCGGTCAAAGACATATATATTGGTTGTGGGCACATTCCTGGTAGGGACCATATAGGAGGCAGCTGATGGATGTTTCTAGCTCTCTATCCCTCTCCCTCTTTGTAAAAAATCAATAAAATATATTTAAAAAAAAAGATCAAGAAGGAAAATCAAAAAGTTGGAAATAGTAAAAAGAAAAAAAACAACAGCCAATACAGAAGTGACTATTTTTTAAAAAAATATATACTTTTTATTGATTTTCCACAGAGAGAAAAAGAAAGGGATAGAGAGCTAGAAATGTCAATGAGAGAGAAACATCGATCAGCTACCTCCTGCACACCCCCTATTGGGAATTTGCCTGCAACCAATGTACATGCCCTTGACTGGAATCGAATCTGGGACCTTTCAGTCCGCAGACCGACGCTCTATCCACTGAGCCAAACTGGTTTCAGCAGAAGTGACTATGTTTTAAAGTAAGTTAAAGACTTTGCATTTTTTAAACCTGTGCATAACAATGTCCCAACCAGCTGCTTAGTAAACTAGCCCTAAGAGCTGCCTCACTTCCCCTTTGGAACTAGAGTGCAGCTAGGGGACCACCACACAACCAGAACAGACCTCTCCCACCTTCTCAGCTTTGGAAATGGACAGGGGATGCTTTCATCACGCTCCTAAACATGGAACAGGTGCTGATCTGCCTGACAGGCAGCCTTCAGCTGTTTTCAAAAGACCCCACTGAACACAGCGGTTGGACCTGGCCATTGGGTAGCGGTTAGTGTCCGCCCTCACTGCAGAGCACCGGCTTGGGTTGGCCAGATCCAATCCCAGGTTATAAAGGCAACTGCCCCACAGTATTTCAGCTGTGAAATTATCCAGAGCAGAGCAACTTTTTGGACGTAAAACAAAAATCAATTTAATTATTTGTCCAATGAAGCCATATGCATTTTAGAATACCTTAGCATAATTTTATGCTTTCATAATTAACATAAACTGATGCCTCCCTTAACCCTCATAATTTCATTTTATTACACTAATAAACAGTGAAAACTACAGCCTTCAGTTTAACTTTCCAAAGAATCAGGTAGGATGTATCTTTATACCTCAGGTATTCAATCTGAATATTTTCCGTTTCTCCCTATTTACATCATTTGGTTTCAAAGATAATTGAATCTTTACCTCCCAGGCTAACCTGTGAGAAAGTGACAGAAATCTACATCAAACCAAGGAGTGTGTTTTTTTGTTTGTTTTTGTTTTTAAACATATTTTATTGATTTTTTTACAGAGAAGAAGGAAGAGGGATAGAGAGCTAGAAACAGCAATGAGAGAGAAACACTGATCAGCTGCCTCCTGCACACCCTCTCTTGGGGATGTGCCCCCAACCAAGGTACATGTCCTTGACCGGAATAGAATCTGGGACCCTTTGGTCCTCAGGCCAACACTCTATCAATTGAGCCAAACCAGTTAGGGCCCTTCAAACCAAGGTTTTAAAGTCACTAAAGGATTCTGATGATTTTTTTTCTGAAAGGCCTCATTCTTATGTTCTGAGATCATAAGAATGTTAAATTTCTGAAACTTTGAAAATCACATTCTAGCTTTGCAACTACTGCACCTATATTTTCTCACTTGTGTGCACACATTTTGAAGTTAAGCAGGGCAAGTGTCATCCCCATTTCAAAAATCAAGGGCCCACGATTAGTGAATAACTCATGAAACCAAATTTACCTTCCGTCACCAACAGGACACTTTCCCCTACGCACATTCCAAAGCTGCAGACCATTCACACCACACACGGGCAAACGCGGAGAAAGGCACACCTCTGAGCACCTCATTGCTCTTCAGGAGTGGGGAGGTGAGCAACAGTCCCTGACATCAAAACAGGGGGGCATGGGAACATATCTATATGATGGCAAATCTTTTTCAATGTTCATATTCCAAATACCATACCAATTACTCCAGTGACTGGAAACACCCCACTTCCATGAATAGCTTGTAATCATGTGGGCAGCCAAACTGTGATTATAATCAGGAATGGAGGGCAGTATTACCACAGAGCAAGAGCCAGACAGCTTTTCCCAGGGCTGAGAAAACGTACACAGGGCGCAGGCTGTGGCCCAGAGTCACAATCAAAGTGCAGGACAGCTCACTACAAACTGTGGTCTGAAGTTCAGGTAACAACAGTGAAATGTTTACCTGAGTCTGATATACACATATATCTATATTCCTTCTCCCTTGAGGATTTATTGATTTCAGGAGGAAGGGAAAGGAGGGAAATACAAACATCAATGATGAGAGAATCATTGATTGGCTACCTCTTGCATGCCTGTTACTGGGAATTGAGCCCGAAACTCAGGCATGTGCCCTGACCAGGAATCAAACTGTGATCTCCTGGTTCATAGGTGGATGCTCAACCACTGAGCCATGCTGGCTGAGCTATTTTCCTTCCTTTAATAGCTACATCCTGTCCAGTAGAATGCCCAACGTCCAGGGCTGCACTTTCAAAACTTACCTAAAAAATGCAAGATATTAATAGATATTCTACCAAAAATTTTCCTTGCTTAAATTATTTAGGAAAACAAGGCTTATTTTTTCTTTCAATACATATGAATCTGAGAGGCCCACATATAGACTTTGTTTAGCCCCACAGTTTCCCTACCACTGTATGCTGAGTACATCTGGAATAGTAGGACAGGGCAACGTTGTGCTAGAAAGTGAATGTGAACCTGCAGGAAACTTCTGGATTAGACAGCAAGGCTCTGGCTCCTGTTTCCAGCCCTGCCCTACCCTGGCTGGATAACCTTGGCTAAATGATTTCATTTTCTTTGGGCTTCAGTTTATGACTGGATCCAGGTTTATTCTACTTCTAAAATTCATGATTCCATCAAAAAAGAAACAGTATAAATGCTCAGCCAGTGTGGCTCAGTTGGACGAGTCCCATCTCATGAACCAGGAGGTTGCAGTTTGATTCCCGGTCAGAGGGTGTTTCTATCTTCCTCTCCCTCTCCCTTCCTCTCTCTCAAAAATCAATAAAAACTTAATTTTTTTAAAAATGAAACAGTCTCCGTCTACATAAAGTTCCCGTGTAGCTGGAAACTTAAATCTGCATCTTCAAATTCATTCCAAGCATGATTTGCTGTTCATTCATTCTGAAAACTGCTACAGTCCGTTTTCCCCCAAAGGATATCATGTGGACAAGCATATCATAGTTTTAATATGGTCCCGTTAAAATGCACTTGTTTTCAAAGCCACGGGATTTTCATAACTTACCTATTCCAATAATTTGAAATTTCAAGTAAGTCCCTAGGACAGTGGTCGGCAAACTCATTAGTCAACCTAGCCATATATCTATCAACAGTACAATGACTGAAATTTCTTTTGAGAGCCAAATTTTTTAAACTTAAACTTCTTCTAATGCCACTTTTTCAAAATAGACTTGCCCTTGCCAAAACTGGTTTGGCTCAGTGGATAGAGCTTTGGCCTGCAGACTGAAAAGTCCCAGGTTCGATTCTGGTCAAGGGCATGTACCTTGGTTGAGGGCATGTCCCCAGTGGGGGGTGTGCAGGAGGCAGCTGATCGGTGTTTCTAACTCTCTATTCCTCTCTGTGAAAAATCAATAAAATATATTTTTTTTAAAATAGACTCGCTCAGGCCATGGTATTTTGTGGAAGAGCCGCACTCAAGGGGCCAAAGAGCTGCATGTGGCTCAAGAGCTGAGGGTAGGACACTCTTGCATTTCTCTAGGACATTACCAAAGGAATTAAGTAACTTAACACACAATCTGGGTGACTACACCTTATGCAGAAGAATGGACAGAGGACTGTGTGGGAAAGAAAAATCTGGAAAGCCAGCCACCGGCGGCCCTGGCTAACCCTAAAGGATAGCACGTAGAGCAAAGGTTCCTTCTCACAGGAAGGCTACGCTCTATCACATCCCTTGGCTTCCAAGAGCTGACCATTCACCTCCAGTTACCCCAATGAAAGGTCACTAACAGAGTGTAAGTTTCTCAATGACAATTTTTGACATGGAAAGTGTATTTAGTTAGTTCAAAGACAGCCAACCGAAAGAGGTGTCAAACATAAAGATTCAAGTCTATCACATGACCACTTGTTGACTTGCTAACAACCTGGAACTAGAAAAAATACCTCTTTCGATTTTTCCTCTTTGGTAAATCTTCCAAATTTCTCTATCATTTCAGCCACGAATATAACATCCATTTTGTCAGAAAAGTTGGCTGCTTCCACGGTGTACGCCAGCAACTGCCTGGCCGTGGCCACGGCGTTGGTGATATTGAGCGGCATCTACATGGAAAGGTAAGAGGCAGCACTCAGCACATGGATGAACACAATTTTGGACATTTTTTTTTTTTTTGCATTTCATAATATTGCAAGGCAGTCACATTGCATCATTTGCTCACCATGACCTCCTTCACATGCTTCTTCAAACTTTAGAAAATGCAATTCTAGTGCAAAGGAACCTGAGTGCAATGTTTTGAAAACTTGGAAAGAAATATAATTAATACACCAAACTCCACCAGGTAAAAACATGCTGTACTATCTCTTGGCCTCTGCTTATCCAAATCCTACACAAACGCAACCCTAGTTGCTTAGTAAACGCTTTCCTGAGAATCCCAGCTGGGAGGACCAATGCCGCCCTGCACGAAAGAATGAACCACTGACTTACTTGTCTGTGTCTCCACGCACTCACTGCCAGGGACCATTTACATTTATGTATTTATTAACTTAAATGTGACTCAGCACCAACCACTGCAAAAAGGGTATACCCGTATACCCGGTGCTAAGGATCATAAGAAAATGTGTAACAGAAACTATCTTCCAGCAGCTGATAGCTTGGTTTGGTTTAAAAAGACATTCAGAACCCTGGCTGGGTGGCTCAGTTGGTTGGAGCATGGTCCAGTATACCAAAAAGTTGCAGGTTCAATCCTCAGTTGGGGAGTACACGGGAGGCAACCAATCAAAGTTTCTCTATCACAAAGATTCCCCCCCCCCCCTCTCTCTCTCTCTCTCTCTCTCTTTCTCTCTCTAATCAATAAAAACATATTCTCAGGAGAGGATAAAAAAGAAAGGTGCATAGAAGAACAGGAAATGGCACCTGAGTGGTACAGGAATGACAAGGGGTCACTTGTGACAAAGGGACTACAGAAAGGAACCCAGGAGTTGGCCACCTGGGTGGATGGGAAGGATGGTTGGGATTCTGTCTGGTGGACAGAGATGACAAAGGTATTCAAACAAAGGCTTAAAGTCAGGTGGTAACAGGAGAGAAATAGTGGCGCCACAGAGGGCCTGGATCACCCATTGGGAAGAAAAAACCTTATTCCAAAAAACAGATCAGTCAACTGAAGTATTATCCCCAAGTCCCTATGATTTATTTACATGTAAAAGAGAGATCTTATGTAAATGGTTTGAAAACCGTGCTTCCTCAGCAACCTCAGCAACCCCCGAAGGCTTTCCCGTTACCTGGTTAAACATATAAAGGACTCTAGTGACATCGTTTGCATACTGGCAGCGAGAGTAATCGTCATCTGCCCAGAAGCCACCGCGGTCACATCTGCGCCATGCCTTCCTCTCGTCCTGCGAGCTCCCCGGATAGATCCCGCTGCCGTGGGTATTCCGAGTACACTGCAGGTGGGCAGTGATGCCCGCCAACGTCCTGGGCCACCTGGGCACACGAGGGCAAAACAGTGTAAGAAACCCGCACAGCCACAGAGGAGGGGAACCCAGGATGAGAACATGCCACATACAGTCGTAGGACGAAAAAAATCAAGAAGAAGGAGCAAACAAAACTCCTTTAAGATTAAAGATCCAGTCCAGCTAGTGTGGCTCAGTGAATGAGTGTCAACCAAGGAATCGGGAGGTCACAGTTCAATTCCTGCCCAGAGCACATGCCCGGATTGCGGGCTCAATCCCCAGGGACGGGCGTACAGGAGGCAGCTGATCAATGATTCTCTCTCATCATTGATGATTCTATCTTTCTCTCCATTCTCCTCTGAAATCAATAAATATATATATATATATGTGTGTGTGTGTGTGTGTGTGTATGTGTGTGTGTGTGTGTGTGTATATATATATATATATATATATATATATATATATATATTATATATTAAAAAAATAAAGACCCAAATTATTTTTAAAGGTAACTATGGCTTAAATAATTTAAAGCTTATAGCCAGGTATATTTTAATAGCATAACAAAATAGGATATTTTCATAAAATATTCTAAATGTTGCTATAAACACAGGGAAACTGTATCTTGTGCAGCAAAAACGAAAAATGGTTCAACGAAGTGTTTTGCACTTGTTTTTAATTACTGTTAAGATACTGTGGGCTGATATCACAGTATATGGTCAGAATTTCCTCCAGGATAACGAGAATGCGGCCTTTTGCAGAAGCAGAGCTAGTATACGCTCAGACCAGAGTTCCCATGGCAGGGCCAGGACTGCCACCCCTAATGAGGCCTGCATGCCACACTGACCCCCCTCAGTGGCATCTAGGAATTTGGAATCGGGAGAGTGCCCGGGAACCGTTAGCTGGTGAGGGTGCTCACTGTGGCTAGACTGCTGGCACAAGCTGATGGGTTATGCAGAACACCTGCTTTCTTCCTGGGAGTCAAACTTTCTGTGCCTAAATGACCAGCAGTGAGAACTCTGGGTGCTGAGCCTCCACTGGGCCTCCCCGGGCAGAATCACTGCTAGAGGTTGTTGCCTTTTCATGGCTGGAGAAGAAGTAGGCTCTGCCTCCATCACCACAATACACCTGAGCTGTCACTGCAAGGAGGTGATGAGTCCTGCAGTCCTTCCGGCAAAGGTCTGCACTTGGGGAGAGGGGGAGGGGTCTTGAGGCCCCCAACAAAGTATGAAACCGCATTTGTCTGGGAGAAGCCCCTCCCTATGCAAGTGCCAGGTCGTCACAAACTGGGCTAGGCAAACATTTGTTATCTGAGCACCCTTTCTCTAAAACCGGCAATGAAATTGAGCACAGTTAATAAAAGTTAAAGCTGACGGGCAACATAGAAACTGCTAAATTATACCCGTCACAACAAAACATAATTCATCACCAAAATTTGCATAAGTAGATCAAGCAACACTAAACTAAATTCTTAGGAATGCAGTGCAAGTTTAAATGCATAATACCGTAAGGCATGTCAAAAGATGAGTAATTCATTAATCAGCTGAATGATTAGATTCCTCTTCTATTTTTAAAAATATAAGACACCCAAACACTGTAAGTAAAAATGGAAAATTCACTATAAACAGAAAATATATTACAATTATTTAATGAAATATTTTGAATATAACAAAATTAACAAATGTTACCTATTTTACTTAAGGTACACAATGTAAGTATTTCAGATGAACAGTTGATCCATATAAAAGACTAGCAATAATAAGTGCTGACTTATTAATAATCCACTAGCAATAATAAGTGCTGACTTCCACATATTCATGCCAAGGAGAATTAAAACAAGATAATTTTTAAAAAAGCAATGAAGAACTAGCGGAGCTAATGATGCTGCTTGGACTTGAAAGACTAACACCAAAGGATTTCTTACCCTTAAAAATTGGGCTGCACACCCACAGACCGCAATGATACCAATCACACACAATACAAACTGGCATTCACAATCTTCACGCTGCTTTTAAAAGCAACAAATTTCCCGGCACTTATAGACACTACAAACTCATTATTAAAATCTTGGAACATAAAGAACATTGGGTAAATAATAAATTTAAGAATGTCTTCAAGCAACTTTTTTTTTTAACATAAAGAGAGTCTAAGGTAAAGGTTGTTACCTCTTACAAATTCTAAACTTTCTAAAAAACAAACAAACAAAAAAACTACCATATACTCAGGTCAAGGAGAATTAAAAAAAAAAAAAAAGGAAGAAAAAGGAACAAGAAATAAACACAAATCCAATTTCCTCCCCCACTTCTTTCTTCTGGCAGCTAAGCTGGAAGAACCAAATAGGGGAGGGAAATATAGATGTGTTTCTCCTAATTCTGGTTCCACTTAACTGCCAGTAGTTAAAAGTGACTTAGCAATATAAAACCTTCCCAAGTTTGGCGGGGGTGGGAGGAAAGATACTATTAGTTTGAATTCTGTACTTTAGAATTTTCAAAATGTTTCTCTACTACAGCAATAGTTCTTAACTTTTTCAATAAAACCACTTGTTAAAAAATGAACATTTCTGGCTCTACCTTTAGGACTCATAAATCAACAGATTTGAGAAAAAGTTCAGACTATTTATATATATATATATTTTTTTTTATCTCTATAAATGATTCTTAAATCACTGTTCTTCTAAAGTACAGCCCTCAGATATATAAGGATATATACAGGTACTAGTAGCCCTAACCATGAATCTGTGTGCCAGCAGCTCACTGCTGCCCTCCAGTAGCTCTCCGCCCACTGCTCCACCCTCCTGTAGCTCCTCCCCCTTCCACCATAGCTTCCTGCCCTGCCCCCTCCTGTAGCTCTCCACTGCCTGCTGGTAGCTAGCTGCCCCACCCTCCTGCTGATCCATGATCCAGTTGTTACAAAGTCAGTAATTATGCTTCACAGTATAATGACCATTTGCATATAACATCTTTATTATATAGGATAGGTATAGGTATAGGTATAGATATAAGTATAGGTATAGCTATAGAATAGGTATAGGTATAGGATAGGTATAGGTATAAGTATAGGTATAGGTATAGATATGGGTATAGGTATAGGTATAGGTATAGGTATAGGTATAGATATAGGTATAGGCATAGGCATAGGCATAGGTATGGGTGGATATAGATATATTCTCCATTTAGATATATGAATACATATACATTTCTCCAACATTCTTACTGAAAATAGGAGACAAATCATGTGCCTTTGAGGATAAGAAGGGACATGGAGTGAGTCACTTCACCCACTGACCTGAAGTCACCTTTGTTGTTTACCACCCTCTCGGGAGGACAGTACTGCGCAGAGCTTTCTAGCACGACAATATCCACAGTCCGGGTGTTGTTTCCGCGCTTGGTCTGGACGTGACAGCCCCAATTTCCAGTTGATCCAGCCTGAATATTAGAAATGGTTAGGGCACTGCATGAAGAAAGATTTTAAAAAGAGAGAAAATATGGTCAGGCAAACAGGGAAACAACCTGGGCTTCTATCACTCATTTAGCAAATATGCCCGAATGCAAATTGCGGGCCATGCGCTTATTAGATTAAAACCAATTTTAAAAATGTCCCTCCACTGAAGCACTTGAGCAGCAAGTCAGGACAAGCAGGTTAAGAGACTTAAATGTGATGACAAGGACAAGAACAGAAGCAGGAGTAAGGTGCAATGGTATATGATGCCTGAGACCTCTTCCAGAGAAAGGGAGAGCAGGGCACAGTAGGGAGGAGGATCAGCAAGTGCAAAGGCAGAAACATCCTGGCACATTCCAAAGCAAAACCAACATCTACCTTCCCACTGATTCTACAGGAAAGATTCACGCATGGACAAAGAAGATTCGTATTTTAAAGTATGTAACTAAGAAAACATGTAGGGTAAAATATTCTTTGGAAGAAGCGTTATGCAAGAAATAACTTGCTAAGTCTCTAAGAAGAGGTAGTAAATCACTAATGGTTTAACAAAAGGAGCTTCTACATAAAAGTCTACTTTAATTTCCAAAACGGCTATATATCTCAACAGTTATCAGGAAATTTGACTTGCAAGATGAAGCCACAATTCTCTAATATAAAATCTATCCATTAAAGAGCAAATGTCAGAGCATTTAATTAACCTTTACTCCCCACCCCCACAGGACAAATTAGGCTTTGCTTCCAAGTAGATACAAATGATAAGTAATCAGACATAAAGGATCATTGAAGTAACTTACAAAATTATGACCTAGAGTTTAACACACATGTTCCCAGCCTCCTAAGTCATCAATGGCTACACAACAACAAACGTTCTAATGAAGACTTTGAGGCACTGTTATTCTGAATCAAAGACAACGTTGATCCTCTTTACTGTCAGTAAATAAATCAATATACTGTAATTAATGGATTCTCAGATAAAGGGACACAAATGAGTCTGGCATTCAAGTTAAATAACCTGAAAATTCATCAAACTTTCTATTCATGTGATTCTACTGAACTAGGAAGAAGTGTATAAAAAAATCGGCAATGAAAAATCATTCTGGGATCCAATAGGTCCTCAAATCTTGTTGGTTCACAGCCCTTTCACCGACTAGATAACTTTCTCATGGCAAAGGTCCCAGTTACCAAGTTAATACTTCACATCAATTTGGAAGAAACTTTTAATTCTTAAATAACAACTATATCTAAAGGCCTGTGTGTACCTGTTGGGCATTACACAATTAATCAAACATCAGATACAGATCGGAGAACGATAAACTTATTTGTTGTTCCACAATGATTTTTCACTTGGTACTTGCCTTGTAGCCAAGTAATCAACAAAAACCCTACATCCCAAAATCTGACACTAGCAAAAGGAACTCAGCTTGACTTAACGGTGACACCGTAACTGCCTAGAGCTTATAACTGCATGGTGTCTGACAAAGGTCGAGTATTGCTATTCTTCCTCAGAAACCTACCCGAGGCACCTCTATAAACACATATGGTGTTCTGAGTACCTTAAACCCAGCTGGGAGCTACAGTATTAATATACTTTGTAAGTATTTCTTAAGGTAACTTTTAGCCATAACTTCAATGTCTAAAACCAATTACCAGAATAAAGTTTTCAGGCATCCTCAAGGCAGCACACTTGGAATGTAAGGAAAAAAAGAAAGAAAAAAAAGGCAGCTTCAATTTCATCTTTGAGGAAAACTAGAATCAAGGATCAATGACATGAGGAGACCAATGAAGAATGAACAGGTGTCTCAGGGACCAAATCAATAACCATATTTTATTTTCCTACAACTCCTATTCATCTGAGCTAACCATGGGTAAAGGGGTTCTCGGTCTTCATATGAAAGATTTTCTTTCACTTTAGCCAAGCATTTCTGCCAACAAAAAAATTAGGCACGGTTGCTATCCTTAGCATATTTCTGTATTTCCAGAAAGAATTTCAATTAAGATATGATTTGTAAAAATAAATTGGTCATATTAATCTAGTTACTTTACAGTCATGGAGATTAAGGGTTCCACATTTATCAAAGTTCTTTTCTTTAGAAAAGTATTTTTAAAACTCTACCGTTGTATATACACCAATTTTGGTCCATTCATATAATCACTGCTTAAATTGCACAACTGATGCCTTTCAACATATGTATACATGTATGAAATGTGAAAACAACATGGCAGCCAATCTTCTCACTGGGACTAACCTACTGCTTCTAACAAAGGTACTCTGCTTCTGCGAAAGACAGCTCCTACCAGACCATCCTCCCTGCAGTTTAGTTACAAGCTCTCGACAAACAACAAAAGGACAACTCTCTGAATACACTGACTGATACAACACATACAGAAACCAGAGAGGAGCCCACACTAGGAAGAAGGGATTGGACCTAGGGAGTAATCATAAAAATTGTTTTCAATGGCTTCTGTCCAAGGACAGGCCCTTCTCAAATAGAAATTCACAGTCTGACGTGTTGAGAAATCACAGGATGGAGGTAGAAAGGAGCCTGGCCATAAGCCCAAATGTCTGCATATAAAATCTACCCAGATCTCTAACTGACCCCACACCTACTACACACAGATAGGGCCGATGCACGCAGGAATCAGCTGCTGCCCAGCACAGAAAGGAGTTTGAATTCAGCCAAGCTAACTGCATGAGGAAACAAAAAAATCAGCTCCCTTCACATGAACAGAACAAAATCCAGAGTCAGAGGTCAAACTTTTTCTTCAAAGGCCAAGAATCAAAAGTGAGGATATTATATATGCACTTATTTAACAATTAAAACAATAACCATTTAAAATTATTCTTAGATCACATACCCAGCAGGCCAGACTTAGCCCAGAGGTTATATGTGAGTGACATCTCTACAGTGAATCATTTGCAATGTCCAGGAAATAATCCAACATTACTAGATATATAAATAATATATATTTTTAAATAGAAAAATATAAGCCATAGTCAAAAGAAAACTAGTCAGTGATGATCCCAAGATGACCCAAATGTTAAAAATGCCTGGCAAGGATTTAAAAGCATCTACTAGAAATATGTAAAAAGACATAAATGAAAATATGCTTCTAATAATCAGATAGGAAATCTCAGTGGAGAACCAAATTATGAAATACAATAGTTTAATCCACAATTCCAAGACATGAATTTCAACTAAGAGAACCTTCAATTTCTGATATAATGTTTTCATGTCACTTCTGTGAGTCTGTTTATACTACCCTCGGGTGACCCAGCAGAGTTTGGAAACTGCAGATTTACGCTTTAAAATTCAAGCAAAATTCTTAAATTCCTACTAAGAAATTGATAAGAAGGAAAGAAGGAGTCAAAGAGAGAGAGAGAGAATCCAATGGCTACAGATAAAGATTTTACTCAAGCAAAATATATGGTGAGCAATAATATTATATATATGTCTACTCTACTTTTTACACTTTAAAAAGTTCATTTGAATTAAGTATTTTGGTGCTCACATCAGCCATGGGGTTAATAGGACAGGTGATATATTATTTTATACCAGTAGGGTAGAGAAAGGAAGTATCTTAAAATGTAGCATCATAAAACAGTGAAAATCAGGTGATTCCTAAAAGTGAAACACTGAGCTTAGCAGTGGGAATTGGATAAAAATTAAGTTTGACACTTAAAGTTTACAGCATTCCTCCTAAAACTTTAAACAAAATGTTTCTAATTTTTCAACAGTGTTTCTCATTTATCTTATACCCAGTACCCCCTACCCCCGAAAAGTAAAACTGGATGGAAAGATAGCTATTTAATTTTAGAAGATGAGTAACAATCAGGAAAATAGATGTCTGCATTTTTAAATGCAAGAAGATGAAATATTGATTTAAACTCCAACTAAACATTACAATTCTCAAACAATAAATCAAATTCACAGAAACAGTTTCTGACTTTAAAAAAGTTTACCTTGCAATCAATGAGCAGTTGTGAATCATATTCTTCTCAACAAAGATACCTTGCGATTCATCAGTTTCAACAATCCGCCCATCCTGATACCATAACACTTGCATGTCCTGATCAATATAGGAAGCCATACACTGGAAGGGAAGGCTGTCCCCTTCAAACACGACTTGACGGTGAGATGGAGTCATGTAGAAAGAGGGCAACTCAAGGGGAGGATCTAGAGAGAGTAAAACAAACTCAGTAAACAAATACAATGCTATATGCAGGCTCCAGAATGAAAAGGTATGGAAATTCTAATTAAAACTTTAAGAATGGAAAACCAAACATGCCTCAGTAATGACACTTTAATACTAGCAGAAGCAAGGCTGCTCCTGAGATAAGTGGGTCCCAGATGAAAACAAATTTGGCAAATTTTAAAATGAAACCATTTTGTAATCAGTTTTGACATTTAGAGTGGTTCCTTTTGGTGGTATCACATGACTATGAGATGATCACAGAAGCAGGTTTAAAAGAACAAATTGGAGCCCTAGTCGGGTTGGCTCAGGGGATAGAGTGTTGGGCCTCAGATTGAAGGGTCCTGGGTTCGATTCTAGTCAAGGACACATACCTAGGTGGCAGTATATTCCCTGGCCCTGGTCGGGGTGTTTGCAGAAGGCAATGTGCACCTCTCACATCCATGTTTTTCTCTGTCTCTCCCCTCTCTTCCCTTCACTCTCTCTAAAAATCAATGAAAAAATATTCTCGGGTGAGGATTAACAGAAATCCTATCTAATAAAAGAGTAATATGCAAATTGACCATCACTCCAACACACAAGATGGCTGCCCCCATGTGGACACAGATGGTCACCACAAGATGGCCAGCAGGGGAGGGCAGTTGGGAGGGACCAGGCCTGCAAGGGAGGGCAGTTGTGAGAGGCAGTCAAGCTTAAGGGGAGGGCAGTTAGGGGTAACCAGGCCAGCAGAGGAGGGAAGTTGGGTGCAACCGGGCCTTCAGGGAATGGAAGTTGGCGGGGACGTAGGCCTGCAAAGGAGGGCAGTTGTGGGGGATCAGGCCTGCAGGGGAGGGCAATTAGGGGTGACCAGGCAGGGCAGAGCATTAGGGGCAAACAGGCTGGCAGGGGAGCAGTTAGGCATCAATCAGGCTGGTAGGCAGAAGTGGTTAAGGACAATCAGGAAGGCAGGCAGACAAGCAGTTGGGAGCCAGCAATCCCAGATTGGAGAGGGTGCAGGCTGGGCTGAGGGACACACACACACACCCCGCACGAATTTCGTGCACTGGGCCTGTAGTAATTAAATAAATAAGTAAGTAAATAAATAATCTATATATATAAAAGCCTAAGCAACCTGCCAAACGGCCAGTAGCTATGAAGCTATGACACGCACTGCCGAGCTGCAGTGACTTGGCAGCTGCAGTCCTCAGGTGACACACCTGGAACCAGAAAGGAGGGAGTCCAATTCTGGGGCGCATTACCCAAGAACTGCCCTCTCAAATCCAGGACCCCTTGGGGGATGTTGGGTGCCAGACTGAGAGATCAGTGCACTGGGCCTCTAATAATAAATAAAAGAACAAACTGTAAAATGATACTTAAATCTGGAGAAGGGAAATGGAGATTAAAAAAATGCTGATATAGATACAATTTAAAAATACTTTCTGGAGAATGTATTATCTTTGATTAAACCATTGGTTTCTGGTTATAAAAGTAATGCTTACTCATTGCAGAAAATTTAGAACATTTAAAGAGAAAGGAGGGAAAATCTTTTAAGATTCCACATATTATAATCACATTTTAAGAGCTGATATATTTCCTTTCATTCAGAAAAACAAAAGGGAGAAATTTTAATTATATATGAAAAAAATGTATGCAAAAATCATGGGCTCATTAAATGCCTTTAAAATACTTGGTCCATTGTCTGACACAACAATTCTACTTTTAGTAGTCTACCCAAAAGAAAAATTGTATGTATGCAAAAATGTATGGAAGGAAATTAATCCTTGTGCTGTTTATGGAGTGAGAAATTATTAACAAACTAAATATGCAGTAATAGGGAAGTTGTCAAGTTATAGCTACTTTTATATAATGGATTTGTATGTGTCTATTTTATATGATGAGGAAATAAGTTTATATGATTTCAGGTTAAAAAAGGTTACAAGAGTATGAAAATATGCTATTTTGGTCAAAGGGTGCAGAAGATAATACACCAACGTATCTCTGGGAGTGATAAAAATGTACCATGGGTTTTGTTCTTTTGATTCTTTTCAGTTTTTTTTTTTCTTTATTGAGGTATAATTAACAAATAGAGTTATAAAATATTTGAAGTGTACATCATGATGATTTGACATACATATATATTATTTATTTTCATTAAATCTTAATGCTTTTCCAAAGAGCACATTTCACTTCATCTGTGAAACAACAATAAAAATGATAATAAAGAGAAAATGAAAAAAAAGTGATAGGATTGTTTCCAAACACAAAGACTAAGTCAAAATCTCCTCCTATCATCTTAAGGACTGTTTTTTGTTTGATGTATGTTTTTGTTTTTTCATTTAACACACATTTCTTAGGAATAAACATTTATGTACAGAATTACTAGATGAAAATGTAACAACTACTTAAGAACACTGATGCATGCAATTTGCCAAACTATACTTAAAAAGGCTGTATCAATTCATGCCCCCAGGAACAAATGATGATTACATCCTGAGATTTTATTACTATCCACAAATCCCTAATTTGTCAATTGACAGAAAATCTGAAGTTCTATGCTACCCTTTAAAATTGGTTTTCAGCCGAAACCTGTTTGGCTCAGTGGATAAAGTGTCAGCCTGAAAGGTCCTGGGTTCGATTCTGGTAGGGGGCATGTACATTGGTTGTGGGCACATCCCCAGTGGGGGGTGTGCAGGAGGCAGCTATCAATGATTCTCTCTCATCGATGTTTCTAACTCTCTAACCCTCTCTTCTCTTCTCTGTAAAAAAGTCAATAAAATATATTTAAAAATAAATAAATAAATAATAAAATAAAATTGGTTTTCATAAAGCTGTTCAGAGCCTAAGAACCTTAAATACCAACCGAGCTGACTTAATTGTTGGCATAAAAAAAAATACTACTGAACCCATGAAGATTAATGGTGGCATTCAGTTCCATCAACATGTAAAGGGAATTTCACAGTCTGTCAAGGAAAACATGGTGGCAGGTAAGTTACAGTAATTGCTCTGTGTTCTCTTCCCCGCTTACCACATGTCAGCAGCTCCTGCTTCACGACCGTGACCAGCTGGGCCTGCAGGGACTTGGGGTACACGCACCGCGTGTCCCGCACGGTGATGTTCCTCTCCTTCACCCAGCGATGCATCCATAGGATGTTACAATCACACAGAAGATACTCGGTCTGAAATTCTCTGTGGCAACCACAATACAGATTAGAGATTACGGTGACTAAAAGGAAACAGAACTTTGGTTTGATGTTGTCTTGGGCTCTGGGCGGTATGTCCACCTTCACCACGCCCATGACCTCTGCCATCCACTGGAGATGGTCTCCCCTCCAGGGATATGGCGTGCAGAGGGTCTGGGGACTCACGCTGCTTTCAATCCAAATTGCTACTTGAACAAACTCTATGCATCAGCCCTCACCTATGCAATAAGCTCCATAAACCCAGGGTTTTGGAATACCAAAGCCCATCATTTTTGCCTATTAAAGGCTTACCAATTCATCTTTTTATTTTTTTATTTTTTCTATTTTTAAAAATATATATATTTTACTGATTTTTTTTTTTTACAGAGAGGAAGAGAGAGGGATAGAGAGTTAGAAACATTGATCAGAGAGAAACATTGATCAGCTGCCTCTTGCACACCCCCTACTGGGGAAGCGCCCACAACCAAGGTACATTCTCTTGACCAGAATAGAACCTGGGACCTTTCAGTCTGCAGGCCAATGCTCTATCCACTGAGCAAAACTGGCTTCGGCCCAATTCATCTTAAAACATGTAGCCTTAATATTGCCTCTTGAAGCTGCTCCATTTTTCCCAGCCATGACCTCCACGTTCTTGGCTAAATGCCAGCCAACTGTCGTGTTAATTTAGGGTTAATTTAGGCAACATAAAGCAATATATGATTGTTTCACATGGTCATACTCATAGGGCCAGAGAGTAAACACCTCCAAGGATGGGGTCTGTTTCTGACACTTTCAGCTATGTGCCAAGGGATACTGTAATCACTTACAAACATGAGGGATTCAGACTCAAACCCATCAAAAAGATATGACGTCATACTTGATATGAAAGAAAACAGAAAATTATCTTTTTTTAAAAAAATACATTTTTATTGATTTCAGAGAAGGGAGTGGGAAAGAGATAAAAACATCAATGATGGGAGAGAATCATTGATTGGCTGCCTCCTGCACAACCCCCTGGGGATGGAGCCTGCAACCTGGGTATGTGCCCTGACCTTGAATCAAACCGTGACCTGCAGGTACACTGGTTGACATTTAACCACTGAGCCTCGCCAGCCAGGCAAAAATCATCTTCATCTGTGGCAAGAAAGTGTTGTAATTTGTCATTTGGATGTAAGAAACCAAGAGAGGACATATATAGCTGGTACATTAGTGCAATAGTTTCTTGAGTCCTTCTATACAAAGCACTAGATGCCCATGAACCATGAGTCTCACTAAGGCCAGCTAATAAAAGTTGTCCCCTGCTAACCTAGAGGGCATTACGTAACAGGGAACACAATGTAAATATAACTAAGAGAGTGTGTCACATGGTCTGTACAAATAAAACGACACCGTGCAAAGAGCAAATATAACCACTTGTGCTTCCAACACAGACTGTGCACTGGCACAGGCTGCATCTTAGGGCTGGCAATAAAAAAGAGAGGGGGAGGTGGGACAACAAAAGCAAAGAGGAAGTAATTTTAAAGAAGTACCCAAAGGATGACTGGACTGGTTTCTAATTCCTAAGCGCCAGCCTCTGGTCACTTTCTGAAACGACCAAGTGAAAACACTGGTAATTTAACCCAATTCGGGGATGAAAAGACTTCCCACATTCCTGCTACCCAGGTCTCAGGAGCCAGATTATTCTTTGCAGTCTTTCTTATTTCCTAAACGTCACAGGAATGACTTACTGGAACATCACTCATGATGCCCAAAGATGTTTTCCTTAAAAAGCAGATTTCTCTGGGTGAGAAGACACCTGATGGAATCTGATCTAATGCGCCCCGAGGAGGACCCACCTATGACCGCCATGGGAGGCAGGGCCAGAGGGAGGGCTTACCTGCTAGCTGCATCCCAGTGAAGGGACTACATGAGGTTTCAATAATGGCTGTAGACAAGCAAAGGCGAGAAGAAGGGAAGGAAAGAGGTGGGGAAAGGAAATAAGGGAAGAGAGGAGCCATACCCGGTTTGGCTCAGTGGACAGAGCATAGGCCTGGGGACTAAAGGGTTCCTCCCAGTTTTTGATTCTGGTTAAGGGCACATACCTTGGTTGCAGGCTCCTCCCTGGTCAGGGATCATGCAGGAGGCAACCAATCAATGTGGATGCATGTCTCTCACATTGATGTTTCTCTCTGTCTTTCCCTCTCTCTTCCACTCTCTCTCTAAAAATCAATGGAAAAACATCCTCGAGTGAGGATTAAAAAAGGAAAAAAGGGAAGAGAGAAGAAGGAAGGAAGAAAAAGAAAAGAATTCAGCATATATACTAGAAGTTGGCATATAGAGAACAGAGGTGCTGGGTAGGGAAGATGATGGAGCGTTGAAAAAAGAGACTCAGTCTCATGAGCTACCCATAATAAAAACTTGAAAAATATTACACTTAACTGTAATTCTGACAGAAGTTAGTATAACTGAATGTTTAAAACATATTAAGATTTATCTTGAAATACAGTTACTTTCAAAAGTAGTATTTGTATTATCTCGCAGTTAAAACACTTTTGGGGGGGGGGAACTCAATCAATTCTAAAGATACAGAGAACTATATAAATACGATCTTATATTGACTTCATAAAGCAGATAGATATTCTACATAAACAGTCCTAGAAATGTAATATGATGCGAATTCCGTAGGTGAAGAGGTTATAGGATCAAATTAAGTCTCTGAAGTACAAAAGATTCTGAAGCACAAATCCTACTGAGGGAGGAATATTTCGCAGTTAGGGGATTTAATTAGTCAAAGAACAAAATGTTTTCTAATTTGAAAGCAAAGTCAAAGAGAGAGAATTGCCAATGTATTACCTTGTAATACACATTTCACATATAATATTCTAAAGAGAAAATGGTTACCCCCATCTGAAGTATATTATATTAAGGTTTACAGTATGTTTTTCAATGTGAATACAGCTCTCAAAAAAGATTCTAATTTCTGCAAATATCACAAGATTTTCCCATGAACTCTCTTAAACCATATAACTGTTTTTAATTTTCAAACCTAAGATATATTTACATATGTATATGTGTATATGTGTGTGTATATATATATATATATATATATATATATAGAGAGAGAGAGAGAGAGAGAGAGAGAGAGAGAAAAGAAAACATTCTTACTTACAAAGATCGTAATGAGCCAAGATAATCAAAAGTCCCTTGAGATAATGAAGAAAACAAATTCCCGGAAAGGTTTCTGGGGGGAAAAGGAAATAATTTCATTTTAAAAATACTAACAAAGATATCTTTGTATACTATTTCATATTTCTTAAAGTGCCCTATATGCATGAAATATTACAAAGTATGTATAAAATTTGTTTCGGATCCTATAAAGAGAGAACAATTAGCAAATATTTCTCCAGGGCTATAAGGGAAAATTGCTCTTAACCTCGTACAAAGCAGTCAAGTATTTAAACATTATTTCTGCTAGATAAGGATTTTCCTATCAAATATCAAGTGAGCCTGGAGATTACTTCACTAAACCAGATCTTTGGTCATGCTGTCATTGCAACTAGAATTATTCCTCGGGTATTCACTCTGTATCGTTTAAGAAAGCAAAAATTCTAAAAAAACAACAACAAACAAACAAAAGAAAAGGTATGGCCGGAATGATCAACAACACACAGTAACTGAGTAAAAACATCAGCAAAGTGGGAAGAGTCCAGCGTTTAAAATGAAAGAATCCGTGTTGGCCTTTTCTTTTACTTTTTCTTGTATCGATGGCTTTCATGAATGTCTTCACCCTTGCAGCATTTTATATGGATTAAAACCCAAACACCCCATGCTACCATCTGAATATAGTATGTTACACCCATGATTTGATGGAAATAATTCTTCCATGTTGGATTACAAACCCCAGCAGGGGAGGGGATCAGTGTGTTTTATTTATTTGGATACCTCTAGCAGTGAGTAATGTGCTGAGGTATACAGTAGGTGCTCATTGGTGGAGGCTGACTGTTCAGGATGTGACGCCCATGTGCAGGTTTCTGACACTCAAAGGGACCAAGGACTCTGGGAGAATGGCAGCATGGCCCGCCTACCACACAATCTGTTCTGTGTCTGCCTGGTATCCACAACAGATACAATCTAGACCTGGAGTTCTCAGGGAAGAAGTCCTTGGACCTCCCAGGAGGCCTTCAGAGTCTGGGGTGAATGTGTCAAGTAGGGAGAAGGTGATGACGGGGCACGTGGATTCCCTGGTGGGGAGAGGAAAGAGAATTGATCTGGGAGAGATCAGCTGTTCCCATACATGCGAAGCGATGAGTTCCTGCTCCACAAATATTATTCCACAAATGCCAATCCTTGGCCAAAGAATATATAAGAACTTCAATCAGAACCTCACTGGATGGGGTTTTATAAATGTCTCCGCATATAAAAAGCTGGATAAGCCCTAACTGGTTTGGCTCAATAGATAGAGCATGGGCCTGCAGACTGAAAGGTCCCAGGTTCGATTCCTACTGGGCACATCCCCAGTAGGGGGTGTGCAGGAGGCAACTGATTGATGTTTCTCCCTCACCAATGTTTCTAATTCTCTATCCCTCTCTCTCCCTCCCTGTAAAAAATCAATAAAATATATTTTAAAAAATAAAAATAAATAAAAAGTTGGATAAAATGATTCGGATCCTCACAGAATTGCATGGGAACTGAAAAAAAGCAAGCAAATAAAAAAGAATACCTGTAAATTAAAAGAACAATAAAAGATGCCTTTTTCTTTTGGACCTATAAGAGTAGATATCAAATGGGAATTCTGCAGGTTACAGGCACGATTCAAATGGTCATTTCATTCCTAATAACACTCGCCTTAACAAATTGACCTTACTCTTATTTCCACTTCAACCATCATTTGCTCAGCTTCTTTTCCTTTCTAAAGATCCAAATCTCTCCAACCTTTGGGTCAGAAACTGAAGTTTTACCTCTTCCAAAAATATTCCCCATAATATCAAAGCTTTCAATCATCTTTCTCCATGCTAACATGTTCCCTGGAACATACAATACACCGTGTGTGTGTGTGTGTGTGTGTGTGTGTGTGTGTCCCTGCATGTGCAATATCATGATATTATGTTCTGGTGGTATTATAAAGTACCTCCATGACTCAATTCCATGCTCCTTATCCCCTACCTACTTCTGTGTTTACTGTACAGTTACTTTTTGAATATTAAACATGGCACAGGTATTTATAAATACTTGGATACTCATTCAAATGCTTCCTTATATCTTAATAGGTAAGAAAGATGTACTTACAATCTAACCAGATTGGTGAGTCCTCGAAATATGTCTGCATTCAGACATCCTATCCGATTATTTGTCAGATCCCTAAGGAGAAAGGGGGGGATGTCTTCAATCAGTTCTCTTAGTTAAGGAAGGTTTTATACATTTCATATTCAAAAAACAGCAGCCAGATATCAGACAAAACCTTGCCTTTCAGCATCTCTGAGATACTTACCTACCTCAAGGGAGATACTAGGGCACGGGAGAGGCAACAATCCTTGCTTTCGCTTACTTCTGACACGTGCACACTAACTCTGTTTCCTTACAATGCTCTTCATATCTCATACTGACTCCTGTAAAATGGCCCAAGATACAACTGGAGTGTACTCATCAGAATTTACCCTACTATCTGTGATACAAGTCCCTAGCTGACCTACACAGTTAATTATCCTGGGAAAAGGGAGGGAACAGAGTCCCATTGCATCTCAACCAACATCCAAGACAATGGATGAGCGAGCAAATCAGTGCACTGCCCTGTGTGGTTCAATCGGTCAAGTGTCATCCCATGCCCTTACAAGAAGTCACAAGTTCAATTCCTGGTCAGGGCACATGGTGGGGTTTTGGGCTTGATCCCCCCGTAGGGAGTGTGCAGGAAGCAGCTGATCAATGTTTCTCTCTCCTTCCTCTCCCTTTCCCTCTCTAAAAAAAATCAATAAACACACACACATACACATACACACACACACACACACACACACACACACACACATATATATACTTTTTTTTTTAAAAAGAGGGCAAATTATCAAAATAAATGCAAAAGAAGAACTTTTATCTTCTCAAAAACATCTAAAGCTTGATGCTTTCTAACTACATTCCTTAAATACTTTTAAGTTTTCAAAGTAAAGAAAACACAACTGGGTGAACTTTACTTCAGAGATCTACCATTTAGGATCCATAAAAAATAATTGGGCCATTACCTAGATACCTTTTAACAGTATCTATATAATGGCTCGATTATTTTTTTTCCATCACTCCAAAATCTTAGCAAATGTTCCCATCAAATGTTACTTTCTCAATATTTTCTCTTCTTAATCCATAAACCCTTTTCCTTTCCATTTATGTAAAAAGTTTAGTGAATACAGTGGTGGCAATAGGTATAATACTATCTAATAAAGAGGGAATATGCTAACTTATAGCTCTCCCTCAAAGATGGCTGCACCCACAGCCAATAAAGAGAGAATATGCTAATTGGCTACCCTGCTCTTAAATATGGTGTCGCCCACAGCCAATAAGGAAGGATTATGCTAATTTGCTGCCCCACCCTCAAAGATAGTGGTGCCCACAGCCAATGAGGGAATATGCTAATTGACTGCCCCACCCTTAAATATGGCGGCACCCAAGGCCAATAAGAAGGGAATATGGTAATTGACTGCTACACCCTCAAAGATGGTGGCACCCATAGTCACAAGATGGCAGTGCCCAGTCCCCTCAGCCCTGCCGGAGCGACAGGTACATGGCAAGGCTCCATGAGCCTGCCTCTGGAGTCCCCCAGTTCCCTGGGCTCCCTGCTGCTCAGGGCCAGCCCGAGGCACAGGCAAGCCTTAGATGGTGGCTGTCCAGCTGCCCAGGGCTGCCCGAGGCTCAGGTAACCAGGGCAATCAAGGCTTGCACTGCCGGTAGTGGCAGCAGCAGAAGTGTGATGGGGTGTTGCGCCTTCTCCTGATCACCAGGTCACCTCCTGTCCCTGAGGGCTCCCGGATTGTGAGAAGGGGCAGGCTGGGCTGAGAGAACCCCCCTCCAGTGCATGAATTTTTATGCACAGGGTCTCTAGTACAAATAAATAATAATATAAGAATAAATTCTTGTACAAAAAATAATAAAACAAGAATAAATTCTGAGTACCCACAACTGTAAACATACTTTTGGGCTCCCGCTGTATTTTATTATTTCTTCACACCAAGGATAACGAGTACAACTTTACATCTTAATCTGGAGATTACATTTTAATTGGGACCTAACTGACAATTTCTATAACCTTCAAAAAAGATGGCATGATTTTCATCATTTACCAGGGGGCATACATTATATTGCAAGAAAACCCCAAAACAATGAATCTTTACTCTTATCAGTTGTTAGATTTGGATCAATTCACTCCTTTAAATTTTGATAAAAGAATGAGAACACACTTTCTAAACCAAACTTTCAAAACTATTTTTATCCCATTTTCTTTAATGCCCATTTTATTCCCTATAGTGGAGAATTTCCACCTTCTTTTATAAAAAATGCATTTTTATTGATTTCAGAGAGGAAGGGAGATAGAGAGAAAGAGAGAAACATCAATGATGAGAGAGAATCACTGGCTGCTCCTGCATGCCCCCTTACTGGAGATTGAGCCTACAACCTGGGCATGTGCCTGACTGGGAATCGAACCCTGATATCCTGGTTCATAGGTCGACACTCAACCACTGAGCCATGCCAGCTGGGCTATCCTTCTTTTAGAGAAGCGACTTGTACTCCCCACTTCTAAACTAAAATGGTTTAAATTGTACACTTGCTAATGAAATAAAAAGTTATCAATCTGATGAGAAATGATAAGGCCACAGCACTGAAACCTACTCGCTAAGTTTTTTCATTTAGATATTCCGTAACTTGGGTAATCCTGGGTTCTGCAATGTCTCTGTTCTGCCCCTCCCCTTTCTAATTGTCAACTTTTGATAAAAGAATCTTAAGCAATACAAATCTTTATCCTTGCCTGCTAATCTCCAGCTCCTCAGACTATTAAAGCTAAGTGTTTAATCTTGTAGGGCTTTAAAAAAAAGTTCTAGCTGATTTTCCTTTTATTCTTAGGTTTTCACTGTTTAAGAAAATGAGGCATAATCTTGTGAGTTGTTGCTTAAACAAGCATTTCTGGGCTCTATTTATTCTCTTGTCTCAATTCTGAGCTTTAAATGGTGCAATTACCATCGATTCTTTGGGAGACAATTTCATTACAGCTATATCTATTTAAAATGGTATTTAGGTACTGATAATAGGTGTTCATTTAGATTGAGAATTGGCTTGAATTTGTTGATAAAGAGAAAAGGGACACTGGGTGGGGCTAGGTTTTATCTACTTCTGGTAGTTTATTCTGCAGAAAGCCACTTAATATTCCCAATTCAAAGTATCTACAAGATAAAGGCAAGGGCATGGTACACCTCCAAAAACATGATTGGGTGCCTGTCGAGTGAGATGCACAATTGAAATGAATGATTTAAGGTCCCTAAAAAAAAAGCGCACATATCTATAAGCAACTATGAACAGTCCCTACTGCAGAGTATCTTTATATTTCACTGAGTTTATATCTAAGACTCTCTCAACTTGCAAGTTGTATACTGTACATTCAATTACAAGTCAGTTGAGTGGAATTAAAAATATATTTTCTAATAGAAAGAACATTACAAATGGCAATTACCTTCCTCAGCAAGAACACAAGAGACTACTTAATGGGTAATGCAATGAAAAATGCTAAGGCAATGCCTGCACGATATTAGTCATGAAACTCAATGCTATGGAACAAGAAATTTATATATTTATTTTGGAAGGTGGTAATTGAGAAATTATTTACTGAAGGATAAAGAACTCAATGGAGAATCTGAGATATTTTTGCAGTGTACTTCAAACAGCCTAATGAAATTGCATTTTATTAACAGTCCAGTTTCCTTCAACCTCCATCTCTAGATGAGGGATATTTTTAGGATTATTCTTCCTTTTAAAAAAATAAGCTTCCTTCCAAAAAAAGCTGTAACTATAGCGTGTCAATCATGGAAGGTAAACATAGGTGATCTTGCCTGGCAGTATGATGTAACACCCCTTCCCTTGGATAAAGAAGTTGGAGAGTAATGATTCAAATATTCTAGAATTTCTCACACTTCAGTGTCAGAATCACTGGGAGGGACAGTTAAAACAAAGATGATCCAGCCTGGGGGGCTCAGTGGTTGATAATTAACCTATGAACCAAGAGGTCACGGTTCGATTCTCTGTCAGGACACACCCCCTGGTTATGGGCTCAATCCCCAATGGGGGGCGTGCAAGAGGCGGCTGATGGTGCTCTCTCATTGATGTTTCTATCTCTCCCTTTCCCTTCCTCTCTGAAATCAATAAAGATATATTTATACTAGAGGCCTAGTGCACCAAAATTCATGGACTGGGGTTAGGGGGTCCCCCTCAGCCCAGTCTTCACCCTTAACATGGACCAGCTAGACTCTGGCCATGATTCCAAGTCCATTTCTAGGCTGTTGGTTTGTGTGTATGCTTCCACCCCCCTACAAAGCCTCCAGGGGTTCCCCAGCTACTTTGTATCTCTGTAGCCTGGCTCCCTGTTGTGTTCCCTGGCTCTCAATGAGTCTGTTGTGCAACTAAACTGATGCTAGTCTCTGCCTTACTGCTTTATTCTGCTAAGCCTGCTGGTACTGCTGGTTCTAAATGCTACTGACCAACTGCAACTCTGATGCCTACCTGGTGCTTCCCACCCTCCAACTCCTATCTTCCGTTGCTGGAGTTCCCGTCTCCATGCCCCACTGGCCTACCCCAGGCAGGCCAGTTTTTCTGAGTTTTTCCATTAAAGGGCCTTTATTGGGAAACAGTGAAGAGCAGTGTGAATGGGGAAGAAGAAAACCAGTCTCCTCCACACACACCCCCACCCCCACCCCCAGAGTGTCTTCCCCCAGTGCACACAGAGCCAGACGGACACCATGAACCTGCCCCTGCCCCCACCTGCACCAAAGGCTAAGGCAATAAATTCCCTCTGCAGAGTCAGCCTGCTATTTTAAATTTCACAAGACCAAGAGAATCCTTTAACTCCTACTGCTCTTAATCTTCCAATACTGTCCAAGAGGGGGAACTGAGAGGAGACCTAGAGAGAATAAATTTTGGGTGAAAGATAATTTTACTTGCAAATGTAACTTTAAAAAAAAAACTGAAAAATTAGCATGGCCAACTCTTACAACTGGATCTGACTAAAAATGATCTGCCTAGGAAGGAGCAGGTTTTGAATGACAGAATAAGAGACACAAGATGTCCAAAGTATTAAGATGGAAGGCCAGTGTCAACATTTAAGTCATGCCATGATTAAAACAAGATCAAGCATAATCGGTGTTAACGTACAGATATTATGGAAAACAAAACATGAATAATACTCAGGCACCTTGAACTTTCAAAAAAACTTAAACAATAAGAAAGTATGATGGAACCAAAAGAGAGACAGATAGAGACAGAGATAGACAGGGGCTGAAAAAGTGACTATAAAAAAAAGGGACGCATGGAGCTGGCCTCTCTCCACTTTATCTTTTGTCTCTGATTCTCTGCACTTCAGTGGTTTCTCCTTACTGCCATCAGGGTAGAAGGAGGTGGGCAAAGGTGGAGGCAGAGGTGGGGATAAGAATTTGCTTGGGTCAGTGGGCACAAGATGCAGTGTGCAGATGATGTTTTGTTGAGTTGTACACTTGAAAAACGGTATGGTTTTGCAAACCAAGGCCCCAATATAGTCAATAAAAAAAAAAGATATTCTGAAACACGAAACACAAATCTGATCATGTTAATTTCATATTCATAAAGTTATGCTAAACCCCTCCCCCCCATCTAAACAATGGATTTGTAATTTTTTTTTTCACATGAAAAGAAATCAACAAAGCCTAGTCCTGTCTTGACCGGCCTAACCTCCCAATATTCTTCTTCCCCCTTCCACTTCAGACCGAGGTTAAAGAGCTAAAGTACTGTCCCAAGAGACATGGTATCATCCTAATGCCCACTCTTCAGGTATTCTTCCATACAAAGAGCAAGCCCAAAGCTAAATGAAGGATGTTCCTGTGGCAGGCCATTCCTTCAGGGGAGTCCCTCCTTTTCCTGAAGATTATTACTGTGCTATCTGATACAGCACATCTGCAGGATGTATTTTCATTATCCACCTATTTGTCCCCCCAAGAGTCTGCGAGCTATCCCAGAGAAGCCAGAGTATGACCAGCAGCCAGCACACAATAAATGCCTTTGGAAGGAATAAAGGATGATGGACAGACAGTACCACTTGGCTTGAATGCAGGGATACTTCTCAACAATTGTGGAACAGCATAAGGAGAGGATGGGGAGAGGAGTTTTCAGCTGTAGACTAAAAACTAGTCCTAAGTTTTAAAATAATAATAATACATAAAGTGTACATGAAAATGGCAAGACCTTAAATAATTAATAGAAAGGCACCTCAACTGATAGAGCATTTACAACAGATGCCATAAGAATGCACTCAGAACTTGGAAGTTAGCTGCAGATGAATGGTAACAGATAAAGCCAAATACAGCAATGATTTTTATTAACATACGAGGGACACAACTGGCAAGCAAATCAAATAGCTATGCAAACTAAGCTACTTATAGTAAAACTCTCTGCTTTCTATCATGGATCTGGCCAGGTAAACTAATCAAAATTGTTAAACACCCATCTTTTATCGCATGAAAGCTTAAAGTCGATGAATGGTTACTTAAACGAGAAACAGTTCAAACTCATAAGCAAGCAAATCAAACACTTACAGTCTTTTTAGCGATGACAGTCCCCAAAAGGCACCAGGATCTATACTACTAATAAGATTATTTCGGAGGTCCCTGTGAAAAATAAAATAAAGCAAATTATTTACATATGAACGCTGTAACAATTATTGTGGCACATTGCACTTAACTACCATGCAGAAAACAACAATAACAATAACAATGGGAGGAAACTGAAGCCCGAATGATTAAGCCAAGATCACCCCAGTAGAAGGGCCAGAGCCAGAATTCAAGTTCGAGAAATCTGGCTCTAAAGCCATTCGTGTGGTCAATAGAAGAATAACGGTTTATGTCCAAAAAGATACGTGTGTCCTGATGTCATTCAAATTCAAAGGTATCATTAAACTACAGTCCTAGAAAAGATTGTAACTATAAAAGTTTCCAGAATTTGACCATGATAACTGCTACAATGGCTATCAATTATGTAATGTTAAGTCACTGTCTAAGCAAAGTTTTTGTTTCTGCAGTCTTCTCCCTTCCCTTCTCTACTTTCTCATAGTATATGGTACACTCTAAACAGTGCCTGGAATTCCCAACACCACCCCTGTGGAGCCTGATCAACCCCTGTCCTTATTTTTCAAATACTCTGGCCCTAGACATTGGCTTGATTACCAGACCTTGGTCTAACTAACCCTAGAACCTGAGGCAGGAGACAGACAGAGGTCAAGGAGTAGCCATGTCCATCAGTTTGACCAGAGGTCAAGATGTAAGTCTAAAACTGTCAGTGACCCTCTTGCTATCATTGAGAGATAAAGCCAACAGACAAGAAAAGAGAGTAAATTCTGAGTCCCTGGATATAGCCAAGCCTGAAGTCCAGCTTTCACTCTGGGCTCAGTTACACAAATCACTAAAATCAGTGAGCTAGTATCTGTCTCTTATCATCCCTTTAAGATTTCACAATCAATCCCAAAGGTATCACCCTTGTTTCAGATGAGGAAATTCATGTGCAGCAAGATGACATCTGGCCAAGGTTGTGGTGTTAATATGTGTCCAAGCCAGACATCAGGCTATAAACACATCTTTCTCACTGACACAGAGAAAATTTACTAAAGAAACTGAGCAACTGTATACCTAGAGCAAGGGGGAGACAGATAAAGTAAGGATTCCAAAAGCTGGCCATAATTGAATCATGGTACTAGAGATACTGTGCTTTCAATTTCTTTATATGTTTAAAATATTTTATAAAAACTAGAGGTCTAGTGCATGACGTTCATGTGGGGGGTGGGGGAGGAAGGAGGGAGGGGGGTGTCCTTAAGCCCAGCCTGCACCTTCTTCAATCTGGGACATCCCTCTTACAATCCAGGACTGCTGGCTCCCAATAGCTTGTCTGCCAGCCTGCCTGATTGCCCATAATAACTTCTGCCTGCCAGTTTGATCACCCCTTAACCACTCTCCTGCCAGCCTGATGGAAGACTAACTGCTTCTCTGCTGGCCTGATGCCCCCAACTGCCTTCTGCTGCTGGCTTGATCACCCACACTACCCTTCCCTGCCAGCCATCTTGTGGCAGCCATCTTTGATAACATGGGAGTGGCCATCTTGTGCAAGGATGTGAGGGTCAATTTGCATATTACCACTTTATTATATAGGATGGAAAAACTATAATATGTGCTCTCGTCCAGCACCCTCATGGTCATCACTTTAGCCCAGATTATATATCACAGTTCCCACTTGTGTCCTTGCTTCTCTCATCAGTTCTCCATTTACATCTTTTTTCTTTAATTGATCTTTTGTTTTTTTAGAGAGAGAGGATGGGAAAGAGAGATAGAAACATCATGAGGGAGAGATAGGGAATCAGCTGCCTCCTGCTACTAGGGATTGAGTCTGCAACCTGGGAATGTGCCCTGACTGGGAATCAAACCAGTGAACTCTTGGTTCATGGGGCTATGCTCAACCCTGAGCAACACTGGCCGGGCTCCATTGACATCTTTACAAACATGAATCAGATCCTGTCTCTGTGCCAGCTAAATTTTCCAAAAGAGCCACAATCCCTCAGAAGAAAGTTCAGACTCTTCTAGGTAACTTAAGGCTACCCATGGCCCTGACCTTGCCATCTTCTTCCTCCAACTCTCATTTCCTAATCTGCTCCAACACCCTCCTTTAATACTCACTTGCTCAGTCCCTCACTCTTCAAATATGCTAGTCATATTTCTAGATGTTTCTAGAAAGAGTCATATTTCTCTCATTTGTCTGTTCCGTGAGAGAGAGACTGAGACTCCTTATGTAGAGGGTGGATGAACAGTGCTATGGTCTAAATGTTTGTCCTCCTCCCCAAAAATCACATATTAAAAACTTAACTCGCAAGGTGATGGAAATAGGAGTGGGAAGGGGGAGGATGGGGGGGTATCTAGGTCATGAGGACACAGACCTAATGAACGTGATTAATGACCTTACAAAGGAGGCCCCAGTCAGCTCCCTCTTTCCCTTCTATGACGTGAATTTTTGGCAAAAAGATGGCCAGTTGGATGTGGTACCTCACTAGACACCAATCAGCCTGTGTCTTAATCCTAGACCTCCCAGCCTTCAGAAGTGTGAGAAATAAGTGTTTGTCTTTACAAGCTACCCAATTTCTGGTGTTGCTATAGAAGACTGAGACGGATGATAAAAGGATGAAATCCTGGCTCAGAGACAGAATTACATTTACCTAAATTCCACTATAAAAATATTCTCAATAAATTACGGTTAGCCACTAAATCATTAGAATATTCATCAAACCAGACAATGTAGAGACTACTGAATGCCATTCATAAGGTAAGTCCACTTCGCACACTTATACCTCCATAAAGGTGGAAGGTAGTGAGTGATGCCTGCACCTGACCGAATAATTTAGCAAATGTGTGAATGTAAGCAAATTCCAATGCAAAGAAAAATAATACCGCAGATTGTTAATGATTATTTAATCTGGGTAAGTAAACTGGTGATATGGAAGATTACTATATTATTCTTTCAATGTTTCTCTGTGTTTGAAAATTTTCATAATAAATATTAGTTTCTGTCCCCCGCTTTTTAATCCCAGGAAGTACAATTCATCATCGGGCCCAATGTACGAGTTTCTACCTCCCTCTTCACACTCGATCCCAACCCTATAACTCAAAGAAGATTTTTGGAGAAAATTCAGTCAGAATGTGCTTGATTTATACTGCATAAGTTAAAAATTTCAGCAAATAGAAATATAATGTCTGTTACATTTTTTTTTTTAAACACACTTCACGTCTCTGATTTTAAAAAGGATCAACAGGGAATGAGTTAGCTAATGTACTACATAAATTTGTGGTCAATGATGTACTGCATGTGTTTCTAGAAGATACCTATCATGAATAACTAAGTAGTATAATATGATTTAAAGATACACTTTTTATTTAATAATAAAGAAATGCTTGACATGTTATATAGCATTTAATGATAGCCATATTAATCAGGTATTGCCAAAGGATATTTGTAGTCAGAGTCTCTCATTTACCATTCCCTTCTCCAACCCACAGCTTCCCTAGTGAACACAAGTCTAATGTTAAGATGTGCAGCTGAATCTGAATGGGTTGGGTCATTAAAACAGAAATGCAAAAAGATGCACAAAAGTCGCTTAAAACAAAATTATAAAAATATTTAAATAGTTGTTAAGAAAAGAGCTAGCTCCTTTAGGCAAGACTACAAAGTATATAAGAAAAAAACACATTTTAAGTACAATTATCAGAAACCTCTACTTGAAACAGCTTCCACAATAAAAAAAATAAATAATAATTCCCTAGTTATTACAGGAAACCAAGACGTTAGGCAGCCTTAGTTGGTGCCATCTATCTCTCAGATCCCCATGCTCAGAAAGTCAAGTTTACCTCCAAGCTAAACTTGGATCATGAAATCATAACTCAGGTCCAAAAATCACTTCCAAGAAAAAAGTTGTGAAAAGAAATGGAGATTTTGTTCTTTTCTTAGGAACTAGGAAATCTTTCTCTGAAACTTCAAAGCTAACCATCCCTCATCTTTTATTGGCTAAGACTGGCTCTGTCAATCACTAGAAAGATGCTTTATTGGCCTAAACCCATCACTTAAAGGGGGGGGGGGGGAAAGGGGAGGAGATGGATATGTACATTGACCAATATGCAATTCTATTCTAGTGTCAGCAATTAGCGAATAAGAGTGTCACTAAATTCTGACCCATATATAACAAAATACAAAAATGATCTATATATATATAAAAGCCTAAGCAACCAGACAACCAGATGAGCAGATGACCAGCCAGTAGCTATGAAGCACACTGACTACCAGGGAGCAGACACTCAATACAGGAGCTGCCCTCTGGTGGTCAGTACAGTCCCACAACAGAAACACTGCTCAGCTGACAGAGAGGTGCCAGAAGTTGGGCTGATGGCTGACGAGTGTGGTGCCCAAGCACGAGATCCTCCCAGGCTTTATGCTGTGTGGGATTGATGTGGACAGGGAGCTATAGCTTGATGAGTTGGTGGGTAAGGCCAGGCTGCAGCGGCATGAAGGTCCCACTGATCCTAGGGAACCCACTGGTGCACGAATTCATGCACTGAGCCTCTAGTAATATATTTTTTTTTAAATGAACTTTTTAAAAAAATATATATTCTATTGATTTTTTACAGAGAGGAAGGAAGAGAGATAGAGAGCTAGAAACATCGATGAGAGAGAAACATCGACCAGCTGCCTCTTGCACACCCCCTACCGGGGATGTGCCTGCAACCAACGTACATGCATGTCCTTGACCGAAATTGAACCTGGGACTCTTCAGTCCGCAGACCGACGCTCTACCGCTGAGCCAAACCAGTTTTGGCCTCTAGTAATATTATAAAATGAAGAGGGAAGATGGACGGGAGGAGGAAGGGATGAATGGATAAATCAGAGTTCTCAATTATAAAGTCTTAAAAATCTAATATATCTTAAAAATCTAATATATATATATATATATATATATATATATATATATATATATGAAAGGGAGGGAAAATGTATAAGTATATATTTTAGAGAATTCTTTCAGTAACAATATACAGTTCATCCTTCAACAACACAATCTGAACTTTAAGACTGAATTGTGGCCGCCACCCCAATTCCTATGTGGAAGTCCTAAGCCCTAATCCCTTAAATTGTGGCTATATTTGGAGACAAGGTTAAACACCACAGAGGGCTGATGCTTAAATAAGACCTCAGTGATGGAAGCAATAATGGCCTGAGGGAATTTCCCTTGTGGAAGAAGCCAGTAGGTGAAATGGTCAAGGAAAGGTCACCTTGAAGTAGAGAAAGTGAAGCACCTCAGAGAGAGCTAAGGAAATGAGGAAAGACTGATTTTCAGCAGCAAAGACGTCCCAACCTGTGTGGCTCCCAGAAGCTCTGTGCATGGTTATCCTAAGTGTGTAGATGACATGGGAATTTGAAACATGATCCTAGAAAAGCATTTGGAAAGCAAGCAAATGAAACATCCATTGTGTATAACACACCAAGGCTAAATAACGAGTGCTACCTGTCACACATCTGATCTCATAAGCAAAACTAGACCTAAATGCTAAGCCAAACACAATGATCGCATTCAGAGACATCTGGGTAAAAACATGAGCGTTTATCCAAATGTTTTCCACCGTGTGTGTGTGTGTGTGTGTGTGTGTGTGTGTGTGTGTGTGTGTGTGTTTGTGTGTTTAAATTCTGGGCTTCCTTTCTGGGCTTTGTAACCATATAACTTTGTCAGCTTGTTCCTTTGATGAGGCATTCTGTCGTGACTGAACTTCAAAACAGCATTAACACTTTAAAAGCCAGTGGCCAGCAACCTGTGGTCCATGGCCTGTTTTGTAAACAGAGTCACCTCCACATAGATTCAGTCATTTGTTGTCTACTGCTGCTCTCCCACTACAATGGCAGAATCGAGCCACCGTGACAAAGATCATATGGCCCACAAAGCCTAAAACATTCACTATCTAGTCCTTTACAGAAAGTTCGTTGGCTGTTGGTCTAATTCAGTGGTGGGCAAACCTCAGCTCTCGAGCCACATGCGGCTCTTTGGTCCCTTGAGTGTGGCTCTTTCACAAAATACCAAGGCCTGGGTGAGTCAGTTTGAAGAAGGGGCATGAGAAGAAGTTTATGCTTAAAAAAAATGGCTCTCAAAAGAAATTTCAATCATTGTACTATTGATATTTGGCTCTATTGACTAATGAGTTTGCCAACCACTTGTCTAACTATCAATAGTTGTTATTGATTTAAAATTTATTTTTCAATTACAGTTCACATTATATTAGTTACAGGTGTACAACTAATCAATATACTTTATATACCTTTCCAAGTTACATTTATATACCTTACAAAGTTACCACCCTAATAAATCTAGTCCCCATCTTACACCATACATAGTTATTACAATAATATGGACTATATTTCCTATGCTGTACTTTACAACCCCATGACTGTTTTTACAATTGACCATTTGTAGTTCTTAATCTCTTTCAACCTCCTCACACATCCCCTCAACCCCCCTCCAATCTATCGAGGATCAATTTGTTCTCTGTATTTCTGAGTTTGTTTCTGTTTATTTAGGTTTTTCATCTGTTGTGTTTTTCTGATTCCATATATAAGTGAAATCATGACTAGCTGTTTTTAAAATTCAATTCTTAAAATTTCTCCTAATAAAACATTGGTAAAAAATAAATTTTTATTTTGAAAAGTTGGGATTATAGAACTAGATTAACAATAAAAATATTTTAAGTAAAATGACAATAACAGATGATAACAAAAGTATACCCATTGCCCTGGTCACGGTAACTCGGCTGCTTAGAGCATTATCTTGATACACAATGGTTTAGGGTTTGATCCCCAATAAGGCACATACAAGAATCAACCAATGAATACATAAGTGGGACAACAAATAGATGTTTCTCTCCCCCCCCCTTCTTCTCTCTATCTCTAAAATAAATAAATAAAAAATGTATAAGAAACTAAAAGGAATACTCACAATCTTTCAAGGAGACTTAGCCCAGAAAATGAACCATTCTTCAGCTCAGATATTTTATTGTTACTCAGAATCCTAAAAATGACAGAAAATTAAAATGTAAGTTGTCTAATATATGTACACCATCAATATCAAAATAATTTAGCTCATTGTATTTAAATCTATGAGAAATTCTAAAAGTCCTTTATCACCCTCCTTCCCCAGGTTTTGAGATGCTCCTGACCAAAAGGAAAAAAAAAGTTTCTTTGTCTTTCTTTGAAAAAACACCTAAAAGAGCTTACACATCTGTCACTTCTTAAAATGATTCTGTCACAATGAGCCAAAAATTTAAAATAGAGAAGTCGTCATAAAATAGCTCTCAGTTAAATATAATAATAAAGAATGACACATACATTTATATATAATTATTAAACTTACTAAGTTGAATACTTTTTTAAAATTGGAAACTTATGTTAGGACTCCATGAAATAATGGCCTTACAAAGAACGAAAATACCCCCTAGATATCTTTGCAATATTATTTTTAATCTAACAAGTATACAAATCTAATTGTCTACATGTGAAAAGATACTTGCCACACACACTCCCATACAGAGATAGCTGAATCACAATAGTATACCAAGTGTACGAAGATAATGTTCTTAAAAAAATAAACTGAAAAAAAAATTTACCAGAAGTCACTATGCAGCCACCCCCATGGTGGGGCTTGCCTAAGAGCCTATGTATGCAGGATCTAGCTTCCTTTCTGGCTCTGTAACCATGCTCCTTTGGCAACTTGAAGAACAATAAGAGTTTCTATAGATAAGGCAAAATGCTCAAGCTACCCCATTTGGGGAAGAGAGAATATATCAAGGTAAGAAAACCAAGGCTTAGAAAAGTTATGTTAATGGAAGATGACACTAGCAAATGACAGAGCCCAATGGCTAATCCAGGACATTTCCGGGGCACCCCTTCATAGAGGGTCCAAGGTGGAGTGGTGACCACTGCCTCCCAGACAGGGCAACACACAAGTCTATGTACATGTAACACAAGCCTACGTACATGTGCCCTAACATTTCAGGTGCACTTTCACATCCTCTTCTTTATTTTTTTAATGTATTTTTTATTGATTTTTCACAGAGAGGAAGGGAGAGGGATAGTCAGAAACATCTATGAGAGAGAAACATCAATCAGCTGCCTCCTGCACACCCCTATTGGGGATGTGCCCGCAACCAAGGTACATGCCCTTGACTGGAATCAAACCCAGGACCTTTCAGTCCACAGGCTGATGCTCTATCCATTGAGCCAAACCTGACTAGGGCATCCTCTACTTTCATTATTCAAAAAATGTTTTAAAATAAAAACACCCATTTGACATCTAATTTCCTTTAGATATAAATGTGGTGTTTTTAAAAAATTCCTACTCATGCAGATTCACATTTAGAGCCTGCTATGTGAGACGATCATTAGGAGCTTCTCGGGTCAAGCACACCTGTGTTTGGAAGCCAGCTCTCCAATCCTGCTCAAGGAACACTGATTTTGGACAAGTCACTCCAGCTCTCTATAACAGAGTTCCCCCATCCATAAAACAAGAAGGATAATACCTGCTACGTAAGCACTAAAAGAAAACTAGTGACTGCATGACACACCCAATGTGCATTCCTTAGCAGTCAGATTCGTTTCCTTGGTTCTGAGACTCACACCCTCCCATTTCAATGTATCTTACAATCAAAGTCTATTACTGTGTAGTGTTTGGCCTCTTCCCAAAGCTGTTACTAAAGCAACAACCAGGGGACCAAGAACACATGGTCATCAGAAAAGTTCCAATTAAAATACAATACGATGTTCTCTAATCAAAATTGCAAAGTTTTTGGAAAGGGAGGTAGTTGGTCAGGGCAAAGCAAACTCAGACATACATGGGGCCACCCCAGTCCCTGAAGCTTCCCTGAACAGCCTGGGGGTGCACACCCAGGAGCCCCCATCCTGCTGTCCGTGCATCATCTCTAAGCTAACAAGTTACCCAATATGACAAGTAGCATACCTATTTCAGTGACCTATTTCAGCATGATTTAGAGCAAAGTTAGAAACTCCCAAAGAGGTCAGTAAGGAGATAAACACATTGTGATATACCCAAACAACAAAATGTGATACACCATTAAAAATGATTCTTTTAAAGAGACTTGATGAGAAAGAAATTGCTTACAATCAGTTATAACTACAAAACCTATACCATTGATTGAACAAAATCCAGGAAGAATACCTCCTACCCCCAAAAACAATCCTAAACAAAAAAACAATCAAAACGATGAGACTTCTATTAGTTTCTCTTTTATTCTTTATAATCTTGCAGCATTCTTTAAAAATATCTAGACTAGACTGATTCTGATTTCTAAAATATTTTCTCAACATCTAAGCACAGCTCAAAATTGAGTTAGTTTTGAATACAATTATATCTAAGCAATAAAAAAGACTGTTTTATTTATGCTTTGAGATTAAAGACTCACATTTCTTTATACTCCAAAAATGTTTGTCACTTATTAGACACTGACAATAGAGCAGCGTACAATGGGGACAACAGCCAGTGTCCAGGGCCTGAGCTGAGACCCCATCAGTCATGAATGATTCAGCCTGTGACAGTCATTTCTCTAGGGAGAATTCTATGTCATCATTAGAAAGACGGAAAACATTAGACCAGAATGATCGTCAAGCTCTCTTCTAGCTCCTTTCATTTTCTATAATTATTTCTGTTTTAATAAGCGAAGCTGTTGGACTTCACAGTGACCAGGAATTTATCACCAATAAGCCAAAAAGAAGGACAACGGCACAGTCTACTTCCTGAACTCCATGCCATGAGAGCCCTGTGGAGGGGTGAAGAATGAGACCCAAATATGGAAGTGGCCTGGGAACCACTGTCAGGGCAGTAACCGTTACACCGCACGCACTGCGCTCAGCATCATTTCATTTAGCCAAAGGACTGTCATTGGCTCAGTCCTAAAGGCTGTGGTCCAATAAGTGACAGGTTTTATTGAGGAGAGTAGTAAAAAGACATTTCATCACACTTAAAAAGTTATAACTGTAACCTTAAAAATATATTTACAGCCTCATGCTAAATTTTCGCTCACCCCATCACTCGCCGTGTTTAAGGATTCTGGGCAAGAAGACGGGATCCATAAGAATAAATCCACCCCGCAGACAGTTTTTATACTCCATTCTGAAATGGGGGACTGTGGAACAAGGAAACGCATAATGTCGTGTGTCATTATAAACCTAACACCCATTCATAATCCATATTTTTGCTGACATCTCTGAAATTTCAAACTTCCTAGGAGGTACCTGAGTGAAAAATAGAAAACTTGACTGAAGTTATAAAGCATAGATATACCCATTTCTGTTCTATGTGAAGGGTGATAACCCCGCATGATGTATAGACAATGCTTAAGAGCGCTGGGCTGGGCCCAGGCCTCTTGAATTTTTAACACTGTAATACAAGCTGTGTCCACGGTTATAACTCACAGCCCCAAGGTGGTTCAGTATATCACTTATGCTGAACATGAAAAAAAGGAGTAAAAAAATATAAACATGCTTGTGGTTTTGTTTTGTTTTATTTTTTGTTAATCAAAATTTACGGAACAGAAAGAAAGAGAAACTAAGTATTGCATGCTCTCTGTTGCTTGCTATTGCAAGTCCTGGAATGGAATGCTGTTAATGACACCCACACCCTGCAAGGAAAAAGGTAGAGAATAATTCTGCTTTTGAGAGGAAATGAAAATATATAATTCCAGAGTATTAAATATTCAGATCAAATGTTAGGAATATAGTTATTAACAAAAACCACTGGAGGGGAAAATCAGCGAAACAATCATACAGGGTGACTGTCCTGGGTGGTATGGCGATCCTCCATAAGGTGTGTCCACCCAGAGCCTGTGCTTTTGGGTCACTAACCTACTGGGCCTATGGCCTCCAAGCATGTCAAACTTGTGGCCAGCGAAAACACTTGGGGCCTTAAACCATTAGAACCACCTCTGATACACTAAAATGAGGAATGGGAACTCCCCAAAAGTAAATTTTCAGTGCTTTGCTTCATTTACCCTAGGAATGAAAACTGGTTTCTCCACAAATTCTTCAAAGTTCCAGTCCAGGGGCAGCCAACTCCATCATTCCAGCTGGTCTCCCAGCTCTAGGAATTTTTATTTATTTATTTTTTTAATGTTTTTAAATGGTTAAAAGGAAATGTTAAAGAATAATATTCTGTCATACATGAAAATTATATGAAATTCAATACTCTGAAAGTCTGAGTGGAACACAGCCATGCCCATTTGCTGACATGCTGTCTATGGCAGCTTTCATTTGAAGATAGTGAGTTGAGTAGCATCAACAGCTTGGCTGGCCCGCAGAGCCTAAAACATTTACTATCTGGCCCTTCAGAGAAAAAATCTGTCCACTCCTGTTTCAGCATCCTCTGTCCCAGTTTATTTTCCCTTTCCAGGCAAATGAACATCAAGTGCTGATTTCTAAATGAATTCTTTTAATTTATCTTTATTGTTGAAAGTATTACATATGTCCCCCCTTATTCTCCCATTGACTCCTTCTATTTCACACCCACCTCCTACCCCTGCCCCAGGCCTTCACCACACTACTGTCTGTGTCCATGGGTTATGCGTATATGCATACAAGTTCTTTGGTTGATCTTTTCCCATCCCCTATCCCACCCATCCCGCAATTCTTCCAAGCAAATAAGAATAAGAGAGCATCTACTGGACTCCAAAACTCCCCATCAATCTGAACAATCTTTATTTTAAAACCACGCTAAATCCCACATGCCCTCAGCAATTATACACATTTTGTCCTAAGTATTAGTTGATTGCTCATCAATGTGTCCTCCTCTTAATGGCATTCATTCATTCATTTACTCATTCATCCATCCATTCACTCATTTATTCATTCAGGCAAAAACAAATTTAGTTCTCTTATATCAAAAGTGTTTTGCCCTCATTTATATCATCTTGTTTTAACACCACTACTTACTAACTGAAATAACTGTTGAGAGGTTTGTGTATTTACCATGTTTGTCACAAAAAGGTCAAACTCCTGAAGTGT